GACAAAGAAGGACACTATATAATGATTAAGGGGACGATATATCATGAAGACATAACCATAATAAACATCTACACACGCAATGACAGGGCTCCCAAATACATAAAACAAACTCTAACAACACTTAAAAGAGAAATTGACAGTTCCACAATAATAGTAGGAGACTTCAGCACACCACCCTCAGTAAAGGACAGAACATCTAGAAAGAAACTCAACAAAGATACAGAAGACTTAAAGGGCACAATCAGCCAACTTGACCTCATAGACATATATAGAACACTCCATCCAACGGCTGGAAAGTACACATTCTTTTCCAATGCACATGGAACTTTCTCCAGAATAGACCACATCATAGGCCACAGAGCAATCATCAGCAAGATCCAAAACTCTGAGATAATACAAATTATCTTCTCTGACCAAAATGCCATCAAGGTAGAAATTAACAACAGGAAGAGCAAGGGACGAAAATCAATTACATGGAAACTGAATAACGCCCTGCTTACACATCACTGGGTAATAGAAGAAATCCGAGATGGAATCAAAAAATTCCTAGAATCAAACGAGAATGAAAACACCTCTACAACAAAAAGATAAATAATTCAATTAAAAATAGGGCAAAGGAAATGAACGGACACTTCAACAAAGAAGACATTCAAGCCGTCATGACACATGAGGAAATGCTCGAGATCACTAGCCATTAGAGAAATGCAAATTAAAACCACAGTGAGATACCATCTCACCCTGGCATTACCGGCACAAATCAAAAACACTCGAAATAAATGTTGGAGAGGCTGCAGGGAGATCGGAACTCTTATGCACTGCTGGTGGGAATGCAAAATGATACAACCATTTTGGAAAATGATATGGCACTTCCTTAGGAAGCTAGAAATAGAAATATCATACAATCCAGCAATCCCACCCCAAGAATATATCCTAGAGAAATAAGAGCTGTCACACTAATAGACATATGCACACCCATGTTTATGGCAGCATTGTTCACAATAGCAAAAAGACAGAAACAACCTAGATACCCATCAACAGATGAATGGATAAACAAACTATGGTACATACACAAAATGGAGCATTATGCAATGATAAAAAACTATGATGAATCTGTGAAGCATCTCATAACATGGATGAAACTGGAGAACATTATGCTGAGTGAAATAAGTCAGTCACAAAAGGACAAATATTGCATGAAACCTCTACTGTAAAAACTCATGTAAAAGTTTACACACAAAAAGAAACAATCTTTGTTGGTTACCAGGAATGGGAGAGGTAGGGGGAAACTAAATAGACAATAGATAAGTGGTAACATTGGTGAAGGGTAAGACAGTACACAATACTGGGGAAGTCAGCACAACTTGTACAAGGAAAGGTCATGGAAGCTCCACAGACACATCCAAACTCCGTGAGGGACTGCATTGCTGGGCAGAGGGCTGTGGGGACCATGGTCTTGGGGAACATCTAGCTCAATTGGCATAACATAGTTTATAAAGACAATGTTCTACATCCTGTCTTGATGAATAGCATCTGGGGTCTTAAAATCCTGTGAGCAGCCATCTAAGATACTCCACTGGTCTCAGCCCTTCGGGAGCAAGGGAAAATGAAGAGATCAGGATACAAGGAGAAGATTAGTCCAAAGGACTAATGGACCACAGCTACTAAGGCCTCCACCAGACTGAGTCCAATACAGCTAGATGGTGCCCGACTACCACAACTAACTGCTCTGACCGGGATAACAACAGAGGGTCCTGGAAAGAGCTGCAGAAGGATATAGAACAAAATTCTAACTCACATAAAAGACCAGATTTACTAGCCTGACAGACTGGAGAAACTCTGAGAGTATGTCTCCAAGACACCCTCTTAGCTCAGAGGTGAAGTCACTCCTGAGGTTCACCGTTCAGCGGGGGATTGGGCGTGCCCATTAAAAAAAAGGGGGGTGGGACTAATGAGGCACAGCAGTCCAGGAACAAGGACTAGAAGGCAGAAGGGGACAAGAAAGCTGGTGATAGGGAACCCAAGGTTGAGAAGAGACAGTATTAACATGTCGTGGGGTTGTTAACCATTGTCATAAGGCAATGTGTGGATTAACTGTTTAATGAGAAACTATTTGTTCTGTAAATCTTCATCTAAGGTACAAAAAAAAAGAATTATCTATGTGAGATCAAATTGACAACAGTCACTCAAAAGTTTTGATAGGAAGCCTAGGGGACAGTGAGTAGAAGATAAAGGTGACAGAATAATTTGGAAAAGGATAGTGAGAATAGCAGCACAACTGGAAGAATGTAATAGATGTCACTGAATTGTACATGTAGAAATTTCTGAAATGCGGTATCTTTGGCTATGTATATTTTCACCAAAAAAAAAAAAAGGTCCTCCAAGGTTAAGAAGGGAGGATGTTGACATGTCATGGGGTTGTTAACCATTGTCAACAATATGTGTACTGACTGTTTAATGAGAAACTATTTGTTCTATAAACTTTCACCTAAAGTACAATAAAAAAAATCTAAAAAAAAAGAGATAGACAGTGGCAGAATGGATAAAAAAACACAATCTGTCTATATGCCACCTACAAGAGACACACCTTAGATTAAAGACACAAACTAAAACTCAAAGGATGCAAAAAAAATATATCAAGCAAAGGATACTAAAAAAAAGAGCAGGAGTGGCAATATTAATTTCTGACAAAATAGACTTTAAAGTAAAATCCACCACAAAGTATAAGGAAGGACACTATAAAATGATTAAAGGGTCAGTAAACCAGCAGGACATAACCATAATAAATATTTATGCACCCAATGACAAGACTCCAAAATACATAAAACAAACTCGAACAGCATTGAAAAGAGAGATAGACAGCTCTGCAATAATTGTAGGAGACTTCAACACACCACTTTCGGTAAAGAACAGAACATCCAGAAAGAAGTTCAGTAAAGACATGGAAGATCTAAATGCCACAATCAAAATACAAGAATCTCCAATAAAACTACTGGAACTAAAAGAAGATTTCAGCAAAGTATCAGGATACAAGATAAACGTAACAAAAATCAGCAAAGAGAACTTTGAAGAGGAAATCACCAAATCAATAAAATTTACAATAGCCCCCAAGAAGATAAAATACTTAGGAATAAATCTAACCAGAGACGTAAAAGACCTATACAAAGAAAACTACAAGACACTAATGCAAGAAACCAAAAGAGATCTACATAAGTGGAAAAACATACCATGCTCATGGATAGGAAGACTCAACATTGTGAAAGTGTCAGTTCTACCCAAGGCGATCTACAGGTACAATGCAATCCCGATACAAATTCCAACAGCATTTTTTAATGAGGTGGAGAAATAAATCACCAACTTCATATGGAAAGGAAAGAGTCCCCAGATAAGTAAAGCATTACTCAAGAAGAAGAACAAAGTGGGAGGCCTCACATTATCTGATTTTAGAACCTATTATACCACCACAGTAGTCAAAACAGCCCGGTACTGGTACAACAGATACATAGACCAATAGAACAGAACTGAGAATCCAGACGTAAATTCATCCACCTATGAGCAGCTGATATTTGGCAAAGGCTCAAAGTCCATTAATCGTGGAAAAGACAGTCTGTTTAACAAATGCTGCTGGCATAACTGGATATCCATCTGCAAAAAAATGAAACAAGACACATACCTCTCACATGATGCACAAAAACTCACTCAAAATGGATCAAAGACCTAAATATAAAATATAAAATGATAAAAATCATGAAAGACTAAATAGGGACAATGCTAAGAGCCCTAATACATGACGTAAACAGAATACAAAATATTGCTAACAATGTACAAACACCAGTAGAGAAACTAGATAACTGGGAACTCCTAAAAATCAAACACTTATGCTCATCAAAAGACTTCACCAAAAGAGTAAAAAGACCACCTACAGACTGGGAAAAACATTCTTTGATCGTTATGAGGTTGGAGAGGGAGGGAGAGGGGTATTCACTAACTAGATAGTAGACAAGAATTATCTTAGGTGAAGGGAAGGACAGCACACACTACAGGGGAACTCAGTACAACTTGACTAAACCAAAGCTAAGAAGTCTCCTGAATACAACCAAACACTTCAAGGGACATAGCAACAGGGGTGGGGGTCTGGGGACTGTGGTTCCAAGGGACATCTAGGTCAATTGGCATAGCAAAGTTTATTAAGAAAATGTTCTACATCCCACTTTGGTGAGTGGTGTCTGGGGTCTTAAAAGCTAGTGAGCAGCCATCTAAGATGCATCAATTAGTCCCAACGCACCTAGAGCAAAGGAGAATGAAGAACACAGAGATACAAGGAAAATATTAGCCCAAGAGGCAGAAAGGGCCACATAAACCAGACTCCATCAGCCTGAGACCAGAAGAACTAGTTGGTGCTCGGCTACCACCAATGACCACCCTGACTGGGAACACAACAGAGAGTCCCTGATGGAGCAGGAGAAAAATAGGGTGCAGAACTCAAATTCTAGTAAAAAGAACAGACTTAGTAGTCTAACTGAGACTGGAGGGACCCCAGAAGACATGACCCCCTGACTCTCTGGTAGCCCAGAACTAAAACCATTCTTGAAGCCAACTCTTCAGACAAAGATTAGACTGGACTATAAGACATAAAGTGATACTTGTGAGAAGTGTGCTTCTTAGCTCAAGTAGATACATGAGACTAAACGGGCAGCTCCTGTCCAGAGGCGAGATGAGAAGGCGGAAAGTGACAGGAGCTGGCTGAATGGACACGGGAAATCCGGGATGGAAAGGAGGAATATGCTGTCACATTGTAGAGAGAGCAACAAGGGTCACATAACAATGTGTGTATAAATTTTTGTATGAGAAACTGACTTGAATGGTAAACTTTCTCTTAAAGTACAATTAAAAAAATAAATAAGTAAAAATTAAAAAAAAATAGAGTTGTCCAAGTCACAATTGTTAAGGAGACATATTTGATGGTACCCATGAGTGCCAATGACAGAATTGGATTAATGATGTCAAGAGAAGTTCTTGGCCCTGACAAAGCCATCAAAAGCACATTTTATATCTTTATTCCTCAGGCTGTAGATGAAGGGGTTCAGCATGGGGGTGACCACCATGTACATCACGGAAGCAATTATGTCCTTATCTTTGGACTTGCCTGATAAGGAGAAAAAGTAAATGCCTGCAAGTGTGCCATAGTATGAAGACACCACAAAAAGGTGGGAGCCACAGGTAGACAAGGCTTTGGAAAGTCTCTTGATGGAGAGGACCCTCAGAATGGTGACTGCCATGCGGATATATGAACCCAAGATACCACTCAGTGGCACAATGAAGAACAACTCTCCCTCAAGTGAAGATAACCAGCTCATTGAGAGAAGTATCTGAGCAGGAGGACTTGAGCACAGCAACAACATCACAAGAGAAGTGGGGGATGATAGTCTCTGCACAGAAGGACAACTGGCCCACAAGGAGGGTGTGCAACAGACCATGGACACAAGAGAAGAACCAGCACCCAGCCACTAAGAAAATACAAAGCTCACCCCTCATTATGGTGGTGTAGTGCAGAGGGTGACAGATGGCCACATACCTGTCATATGTCATCACTGCAAGAAGGAGGTTGGCAACACAAGCAAAGAGTATGGAGAAATACATTTGTGAAATGCACTCAACATAGGGGATTGATTGGTGGTGAGTTTTCAAGTTCATCAGCATCTTTGGGACAATAACAGATGAAAGGGAGATATCACTGAGGGACAAGTGGCTAAGGAAGAAATACATGGGGGTGTGGAGGCGAGAGTCCAGCCTAATGAGCAGAGTGATGAGCATGTTCCCCAGCACTGTGGCAAGGTACATGCCCAGGAACAAGGCAAAGAATACAGCCTGCTGCTCCGGTCGGATAGGGAGCCCCAGGAGGAGGAATTCGGACATGCTGCTCTGGTTCTCAGGCCTCATACTGCTTTTCTATATCTTGAGGATGAAGAAGGGTCTGGAATCTCATAAACCTAGAAAAGCAAAATGAGGATCACCACATTATATACTGTAATTCTTTGGGAAAATGGTGAATTTTTAACTACACTCCTATTGATTTGTCACATCTGTGGATGCATGCATCTTCACTCTATCCCAGTCTGGCTCCAAGAAAACATCACACCCAACAGTACTCAATAAGCTCTCATTGAATAGAAACAAGTGGGCATTCGTTGTCTTATTCAACCATTATTAGTCAAACATTGAGTTTGAACCCTGGCCTCTACTAGGGACTGAGAATGCAGCCATGGACAAGAAAAGTAAGATACCTGCCCTCTATAACTTTACATCCTGATGGACATAGTGAAATAATGTACCATATCAAGGCAGAGCCAAACCACAACAATTCACTATAGCAGAAATATGTGAATAGCCTCAGCAAACAGTATCAGTTGTTTTTGACTTAAAAACTCCCAGGGTTGAGGCAGAGTTGTTGAAACATTGACACACTCTTCCTGTAAATGAAGACTGTGTCCCACTGACCAAAAACTGTAAACATATTGATTTGCTAGAAATGGGTGGTTATTTAAAACCCCCTATTGCCAGAATAGCTCCCAAACCAGAGTCGTTCACAAACTGTCTTTCATAATAATGCTGAACACTTTGCTGGGAAATATGCTAAGGGCTTTATATACATTTTCTAATTAAATCCACCTACCAGCCCTGCATTCCCAGATAAAATCTTCACAGCCGCACTGAGGATCAGGTGCTCTTTCTCCCAGTTTAGCTGTTAACTCGCTGCCATTGAGTTGATTCCAATTCATGGCAATCCCATGTGTTACAGAGTGGAACTGAGCCCCATAGGGTTTTCTTGGCTATAATCTTTATGGAAGCAGATTGCCAGATCTTTCTTTTGCAGCACCACCAGGAGGATTCAAACTGCCAATCTTTTGGTTAGACATTAAGAAGCCGAGGGAAAACTGCCTGCGCCACCCAGACACCTTCTTTAACTGTTAGGAAATGGAAATATAAATGATATAACATACAAAGACACAAAGCAGTAGGTGACAGAGATGGTATATATATATATATGTGTGTGTGTGTGTGTTTGAACTGTGTGTAATTTCTATTTGTGTTGGGTAAAAATGACCAAATATTGGCTAGTTGATGCAGGTCAATCTAACATTTCTGTGTGATCAGAGCCCATCCTCTAAACCACTGCACAGAAAAGTTTCCCGCTTTGTTGTCTACAAGCACCAGGCACCCTGTGTTATTTTAGGGTTGCAAGGAAGCTGAAGTGATCCTAACTTTTCTTAGTTCCCCGCCTAGCTAATTCCCTTTGTTCCTATTTACATATTTTTTAATAGACCAAAAAAAAAAACCTTACATACATCATCTTCTATTAAAACCATAAATATTGATGGCCTGTCAAGTCCACAAGGCAAGTATAATACTTTCCATTATAAACGTGGAAACTGACGCCAGAGAGTTAAGGGACTCAAATTAGGACTTAACCTAAAGTTAAGGTCTCACTGCTGCTTGATGGTGATTCTGCACTCTAAATTTACTCAGTACGATAGCTAACATTTCTTTGCATGGGACATTAAGTAAAGAAAAGGAATACAAAACTCTGAGAGACTGAGTCACCCTCAAATGTATGAAAATGACAGCAAGTCTTTTTCTGGAACCAGATAGTTGCTTGGGGCTTTGATTATCTCCCTGAATGGTGCTCCAGGAGGAGGACATTAAGGAAATATTTGAGGTGATGGTGGCAATTCAGAAGCCCCAAAACACACATATATACACATACACATGCACACACACACATACATGCTCACACACTCACACAGCCATATACATACAAGTCATGAATAACACATAAAGTAAGAGACATACAACACACAACGGACATATCACACAACTCACAAACACTCGTAATGCACCATCGACACACAAACATGACGCACCTGCTTCTCATATGCCACATATACATAATTCAAACCCTATACACTACGCACATGCATCACCAAAGCCACAGAAGGTCACACAATTCAAAATCTCAAAAGCAACACACAATAACACACATGCATGCCTAGTCACACACTCAGCACAAACAAGCAGCACACACGGCCACAAAGATACACATTCCCATTACTGAGAGGGGTGCTTCAGCCCCTTCTGACCTAAACCCTGCCTGGGAGAGGGCAGTCAGCATGAGACAATTAAGCCTATTCAGTCACAGGCACAGTCACTAAACCACTAGGAACAACCAACGCACATACACACACAACAAATATCAAACAATACATTCCTGCTCTCACACGTGTCACCCACAAACATAGCTCACACATACACTCAGCACACACAGCTGAGCAGAGATTTGCACCCACTCAGCTGTGCAGCCCTTGGTGAGTTCAGGCACCTTCTTCTCCAGGCAGCGGAGCACAGCACCCTTACTCCAGATGCTGAGCTCTCTCATCTACTAGCTGTGATGCCCAATGGTGGGAATGCAGACCTTCTTATCAATGGTGAGGCAGATATTTAAGATCACAGGCAGTTATTATGAGTCCCTTAAACACACCCTCAGAAGCCTGATAACTTGGTCTACACATGCTAAAACAGGGTCCAGTTTCAGTCTAACTCAGAAAAAGAATTAGGCTGTAAGCCAAATACGTAGTATACATACATACAACTATCACACAGCACCTAAACAAGCATGCACAATACACATACCCGTAAATACAAAACCCCATATGCACACAGACTGATCCATTGCCAAGGAGAGCATTCCAGCTCCCTCTAACCTATGCTTGTTGGTGGTGATTCAGACATCTGCTCCAGACTGTTGCTCAAATATTCAGCTTCTCTTGAGGAGACTCAAGTGCTACTGGCATATCTAAGGTATGGCAGGTATGGCACATGGGGCAGGAGGGCACACCAACGAACAGTTTCTCTTGGCCAATACAGTTTCCATCAATAGCTGTGAGAGCTCATTCAGCAATTTAAAAGTAATTGCCATAGGTGCTATTTTCCATAGATATACCGCTGGCACAAGATCTTCTACAGATTTTAGTGTTCCTTAACTAGCTCCAAAGCAGTGAGCAAAAAGATGTTTTAATCACCAGAGAGAGGGCTGAGACAAATTCAAGCTTCTGGCTAAGGGAGGAGTCATTATGGGCTAATTGGCCAATTTCTTACTGCCCTTTGGGGAGCAGTGTGTCCAGGAGCCAGAGAGGCTGAACCACTGGAGCCACAGGAGACGGTGTCCCTGATGTCAGAGATGCCTTGGACTCCTTTCTTCTTAGTCATGGTTCCAGAAGGGATGCAGGATTTATTCAAATTTTCATTTTGAAGGGATTTCAGACTCACAGAGAGGTTATTAAAAATTATACAAATAATTGCTGCATAACCTTCACCCAGATTGACCAAAAGTTAACATTTTACCATGTTTGCTTTATGATGATGATGATGATGATGTATCTAAGATTCAGGCTTCAGATCTTTGGCAGGTATACCACAGTGCATATTATCAGAAGGTAATATGATATCAATTTTTCCAATTGCTAGTGACTTTAAGCTTGGTCAATTGGTTAAGTTTGTATTCAACAGTTTCTCTACACTAAAGTTACTTTTTTTACTTTTAGATATTTTGAGACTACATAAACATGCTTTTTCTTTTTAAAATTTCACCCACTGTATTTAACATCTATAGCTGATTCTTGCCTGAAACAGTTATTGCAATTGTCGTGGCCAAATGTTAATTGTATAATTCCACAATTCCTTCCACATTTATTAGTTGGGTTCTCCTGTGAGAAGGAAGTTTCTCATCTCCCACTTTTATTTATTTCTTCACTGATCAGGAACTGATGGTACTGAAGGAAGAAGTCCAAGCTGTACTGAAGGCATTGGCTAAAAACAAGTCTCCAGGAACTGACAAAATATCAATTGAGATGTTTCAGCAAACAGATGCTGTGCCAGAAGTGCTCACTCGTCTATGCCAAGAAATTTGGAAGACAGCTACCTGTCCAACCTACTGGAAGAGATCCATATTTGTGCCTATTCCCAAGAAAGGATCCAACTGAACACAGAAATTATCAAACAATATCATTAATATCACACATAAATACAATTTTGCTGAACATCATTCAAAAGCAGCTGCAGCAGTATATTGACAGGAAACTGCCAGAAATTCAGGCCAGATTTAGAAGAGGATGTGGAACCAGGGATATCATTGCTGATGTCAGATGGATCCTAGCTGAAAGCAGAGAATACCAGAAAGATGCTTACCTGTGTTTTGTTGACTATGCAAAGGCATTCGACTGTGTGGAACTAACAAATTATGGAAAACATTGAGAAGAATGGGAATTCCACAACACTTAATTGTGCTCATAAGGAACCTGTACATAGATCAAGAGGCAGTTGTTCAGACAGAACAAGGGGATACTGCATGGTTTAAAGTTAGGAAAGGTGTGTGTCAGGGTTGTATCCTTTCAACCATACCTATTCAATCTGTATGCTGAGCAAATAATCCAAGAAGCTGGAGTATATGAAGAAGAAGGGGGTATCAGGATTGGAGGAAGACTCATTAACAACCTGCATTATGCAGATGACACAACCTTGCTTGCTGAAAGTGAAGAGGACTTGAAGCACTTGCTGATGAAGATCAAAGACCACAGCCTTCAGTACGAATGTCACCTCAACATAAAGAAAACAAAAATCCTCACAACTGAACCAATAAGCAACATCATGATAAATGGAGAAAAGATTGAAGTGGTCAAGGATTTCATTTTACTTGGATCCACAATCAACAGCCATGGAAGCAGGAGTCAAGAAATCAAAAGACACATTGCCTTGGGCAAATGTGCTGCAAAAGACCTCTTTAAAGTGTTGAAAAGCAAAGATATCACCTTGAAGACTTAAGGTGCGCCTGACTCAAGCCATGGTATTTTCAATCGCATCATATGCATGCAAAAGCTGGACAACGAATAAGGAAGACTGAAGAAGAATTGATGCCTTTGAATCGTGGTGTTGGCAAAGAATACTGAATGTACCATGGACTGCCTAAAGAACAAACAAATCTGTCTCGGAAGAAGTACAACCAGAATGCTCCTCAGAAGCAAGGATGGCGAGACTACATCTTACATACTTTGGACATGTTGTCAGGAGGGATCAGTCCCTGGAGAAGGACATCATGCTTGGTAAAGTAGAGGGTCAGTGAAAAAGAGAAAGGCCCTCAACAAGATGGATTGACACAGTGGCTGCAATAATGGACTCAAGCATAACAACAATTGTGAGCATGGCACAGGACCAGGCAGTGTTTCATTCTGTAGTACATAGGGTCGCTATGAGTCGGAACCGACTCAACAACACCTAACAACAACAACAACCATATAGCCTCATGGATTCTTTTTTATTCTCTGAATCGTAACCTGTTGCTGAATGTCTTAGGCTGGGTTCTCTAGAGAAGCAAAACCAGTAAAGCATATAAGTATATATAGAGAGAGATTTATATCAAGGAAACAGCTTACTCAATTGTAGATGCTAAAACATCCCAAGTCTGTGGATCTGGGTAGAGACCTCTCCCAATTCATGCAGCCACAGAAACTGACGAACCCAAAGTCAGCAGGTTGGAGAGCAGGGCTCCCGCTCACAGGCTGTGAGGGTCAATGAATTCCAAGATCAACAGACAAGACTGCAAGATTTCTCCTGATTCACATAGCTGCAGGGGTTGGAGAACCCAAAATCAGCAGGTCGGGGAACAGGACTCTAGCTCGCAGGCTGTGAAGATCGACGAATTCCAAGACTGACAGGTAAGCTGCTAGCTTAAGTCCCGAGAACTGGAGGTGAGACAACATGAGGCAGCTGCTGAGTCTGGAACAAGCCAAAAACTTTGGCAAGGCGAGCAGGCAGAGAGTAACCAGTGGAAGGCAGAGAGATGAAGCTGAGGGGGTGGTGAGCTGCCATGCAGCCAGCCCCCACCAGTACCACTTAGCAGATTCCATCACGGAAGTGATCACATATCAAATTTTAACAAGGAAGTGATCACAACATTATACAACTGCTAAAACACTGAGAATCATGGCTGAACCAAGTTGACATACAATCTTAACCATCACACTGTTGTTATTCATTTGAAGGTCAAATTGTATCAGTTCTGGCTGGTGGGAGCTCCTTCAAGCAGCCTCCTGTGTCCCTGTGATTCATTGAGCACTTCCCTACTTTCTGGCTCAACAAAGCTTTTCTGACTCATTTTGTCCTTTCCTGGCCCAAGCCTTGGAATCAGCCATTTTAGTAAGTAACTTTGGTTCCTTTTAGAGGAGAACGGTGTTTAAATAACAAATTTGGCATTACATGTGCTCGGTGCTTCTAAGGCTTCTTAACCACCTCAGCTAACAGAGCTAAGAAATATAT